ATCCTGGATACAAACTGGACCTCATCCTGACCCAGAAGTGTATCCCTGACGACTTGCTTGTCACCGCTTTACACATTTCTGACCACTTTGTTCAGTTCACCTGGTCCCTCCCTACCCTGCTTTCAGTTTTCCAGGAAGGAACCATGATACTAAAGGCAGGGAGAAACACAGGAAGACTTCAATGACTTAACAGGGAATAACTATCAGGAATGGAAGTAGCCTCTACTAGCCTGATGCTTCTTTATGTTCTGTGTAAATTTAAGATCTGCCTTTGTGTGAGTGTTATTTGAAAAAGAAAAAAAAAAAACCTCTTGTACTTGCTTTCTTTTAAGAAGTTATATTTGTAAGCAAAAGTGTTTTTTTTACAGAGGACCACAAATCACTATGGCAGGTTTTGCCACATATCCTAATACAAAAAGATGATGTTACCTTCTTGGGGTTGATCTTTCTGGCGGCTTCCAGCCTTCCAAGGAATGCCTGCAGAGAAAGGTAAATATCAATACCCATATGTACTCAACTTTTTTTCTCTCCTGGCCTTCAACTTTGCTGCCTAAAATTGTGTGAAGACTCTTCTTGTGTAAAGACCAGCAAGTCTACCTGCACAAGTCCAAATTTATTCTCCTGCACTTTTAATGGACCAAAGTTTTGGAGCTCAGGTGTCAGGTCTATCAAGTCGAATTTTGATGCAATTTGTCTCAAAATTTGACCACGTCCTGATCTTCATCCTTACAGTGTGTCTGCACTGGTTGAATAAGATGAGTCAAGTACTCTGAGATATTCAGTGTCTGAAATTGCCCTGTTTTTGCAATTACTATGTGGTCCTACATCAATTTTTGGGCATTCCTTCTCAAAATATGATTACTTCGACTTTGTCACCCATGAAATGTCTCAAAAAGTTTGAAAACACCGTAAAATACTTTTTCAAAGAACAGTACTAGTCAAATGTTTCGACATGCCAAGCCTCCTACAAAGGAAAGTGATACTGTCACATCACATGACGTTTTCATTTGTTTTAGTTTACGATAATGACACTGGTCCCAACAAGTCCAATGTGCACAAACTTACACACTGGCACTGTCAGTCAACATAGAATTAGCCCAGATTTTAGCCTAAACATTTTTATAAACACTTATTCAATGAAGATTCTAATGTAGCAGGCAGACAACTTTATGGCTTTAATAATGAGTATTTAGCAGCTACAAGGACAAAAGATATTAAAAAGCTCTCCGTTCTAATACTAATTTAATGAAGGGTGGTTCCGTCTACTCTAGCGGTCTGGCCATCATCCAGAACAGCGCCTGTGCGGTTCCTCTTCAGGTGGTCATGCACAGCGCTAATGCCGCTGTGGTTTGCCATCACACTGCACAGTGTAAAACCACCTTTTTGTTTTGTGATAATGTGAAGTACTTCCATAATTACGCAGTGATATTAAAGGAAAACAATTCAATGAATTGAAACGTTTAGGAAATTATAAAGGTAATTTAATTTAAATAATTTTAAAAAGCAATGCGTTGATTTCAAATATTGATGTTGATGCATTTTCTAAACTGTTGAGAACAGTACAAGTAAACCTTTCTAAGGGTATTTGTGTCCAAAGTTTTGACTGGTACTCTAAATAGAGTCACTGTGCTCATGTGACCCTGTGTTTTCTATAACTGTCCTTTCCTTCTCTTGCTGCCACATAGCACTGCTGTTAATTTTTGGGGAAATTTGCCTCAAAATGAAATCCCTTGAACTTCATCCATATACTGTTTTTCTGAAGCAATAACAAGATCCATCCAATATTTATCACATTCATACGGTCAAATGTTGTTTTCTTTCACCTTTCCTATTCCTGCCACTAAGCGGCGCTGTTTCAATTTTAGCACGATTTGTCTCAAAGTTCTATCATTTCCAGTTCATAACCAGCAGAATGTGTCTGCAAAGTTTGCAAAAGTATGTCAAATAAGTTTTTGCGTTAATGGGATCAAGTTTCCAAAACTGCCTTTTTAAGTTGACGTTAAGGAAGACATCTGCAGACACAGCAAACTAGTCCCTACACCACATGTATTTTTCTCCCTGGGAAAACAAATATAATAGGAAGTTTCTACTAATGAGAGAAAAGTGCAATTCATGCCATTGTGAAAGATTTTCTATAACAAATTAATAATAAAAATCCATTTACACCTACAAAAAAAGTTACCAATGGGGAAAAAATCATAAATGTATTTTAATGAACTGTAAAAAGTATATTAATTTTGCAAATGATCACATTCCTTCCATAGTTAAAAAAAAAAAAAAACTTTTCTGAAAGTCAGGGTCACTGTTGTAAGACACCTGTAAGAACAACAAAGTCTATCATTACGTACGTACATTTGGCCTACTGCTACGGTCCAGGATTTGAATTTAGTTTTATTTTAAACTATATCCACCAGTATGTTTTAATACAAATTAATAATCTTACTGTCACGATCAGGAACAGGCGATACGGGAAGCAGGTGAGCGGAGCCGTAAATACGGACAAACGGGGTTTATTTACACGGAGACAGAGGCACACGGCAAGGAACATAACAATACAATGACGGATCTGGGAGACAGTGGGAGATGCGGACTAATATACACCAGACAAGTTAAAAGGAACAGGACACAGGTGATGACAATCCGGAATTAACATGAGGTAACAAGGTGGGCGTGGCACACATGAGGATCAGACGGAGCTGGGCGTGACAGTTACCTTTTTTCTTGTAGAACAAACCAATTCCACAACATAGAGCTGCTACACAAATTGCTGAAACAACACCTGCGATGATCTTACCACTCGGATCTATGGAACAGATACAATTTTACTTCAGTACATGCACATCATATAGTACAATGAAACAAAAATATAAGAGTATTTCTGAATGACTCACCTGGAAATAAAACCGATTCCTTGACAGGTTCACTCTCCTCTGTACTCACAGGGTTGCTGAACACACATGTGTAGCTTTTATCCAGCTTGTCACTCTTCTGAACTTGGAGCGTTGTGGTATTTTCTGCTATCGTTTTATTGTTCTCCTTCCAGGAGTACTTGGTATATGTGGTGTTCTTTCCCTCACAGACCAAAGTACACTGGGTTTTGCTGCAGTTTGTTCCGACACTGGGTTTGGACTCTAGTTCTGTAGATCGGTGTAAAGACACAATTAAATGAAAATGCTAAAAACACTAAGGTAAGCAAAACTGATTACTGAAATATGGACAAGTATACAGAATAAAACTGACCTAAAATAATAATCTTACTTACCAAGTGCAATCACTGTAAAAAATGACTGAGCTGTCATTCCATTGATCTCAGCAGATAAATCCAGTTTTTCATTCGGCTTTAGATGCATAATTTTAAGCTCCCCAGTTGTATGATCCAGTTGACACCTTGATCCTGAATTACATATGGTATAATAATCAGGCGTTGATTGACCTGTTTCCCACTCTGCTGCTTTGTTCAGGTCACTTTTCCATGTGATGCTGGAGATGGGCTGGTTCACAGTGGGCTTCAGTTTAACTTCTTGCCTTACTATTCCAAAGACCACCTCCCTCCCTGCATGGGTGGCAAACATATCATACAAGATGTTCACACAAATGAAACAAGTTTTCATGAAAGGATCAAGTCAAAGTGTATCAAACAGTACAACGAGTGCCACAGAAAATCAAACTTTAAATTTAATATGTCAAAGCTCTTAAGTTTAAGGTAATAAATAACACCGCTACAGACATCCCAATTGATTTCAGGTAGGTGGAAATTAAAAAATGTTCTGCACTATTTGCGGCTTTGCCAGAATTTCCTATCTTACAGAAACAATTTTCAGTTAAAATCCTACCCAACCTTTTGAGTGGACATTAGTCTAAAGATTCATGCTATCAAAATAACTGTCCTATACTTGAAATGCTAGGAGTTGCTATCTTTATTTCTCAGTGGGGTCCAGTATATATACATGTTTATTGAGAGGAAGAGGACAGGTTAACAGATACTGACAGGTCACAAGGTCCAAACAGGGAGCACAGGACTAACAAAGAAGCAGAGACAAGGCAGCTGTGAGTGATTAACAGGAGGGCAGGAATGAGAGGTAAGACTAACGGATCCCAAGCGCGGCTAGTTTAGAGCTACGCCTGAGGGAAACAGGGATCAGACAGGCAGAAATGTAACGCCAGTAGGAATGTCATTGTCACACTTTGGTATTTGTGAAACCTGTCGGCAATCCCTCTGGCCACTGTGCAGGGCCCAAATCTGCCATCCATCCAAGATGAGCTGATGTTGTATTGCCTGCGAAAGGAGGCCCTACACCATACTAATAATGTATTGTGGTCTTTAACCACGTTTCAGTTTCATTGTCCAACCCCTGTATGTTTATTTTTGAAAACGAACTTCAACAATACCTCCAGACTATATACTGTAGTATATTGTAAAGCCATAAAGACTATCGATATTTGTAAAAAATATACAGTGACAAAAAAAGTTAAGCACCCAGATGGAGTGGTGGAAATGAAATGAATCTACACCAGGAGAAAGGTCATGTGACTGTACTGCAATGATTACAATATCAGATCCAACAGACAGCAGAGTTGGCAGTATGGGCACACTGCTGATCCCAGGTCAGTAGAGTGTGGGACCCCCCTGGCCTGGATACATGCGGCGATACGGTGCAGAAGGGAATTGTATAGCCATTATATTCTCCCCTGCAGGAAGTCGGCACAATTTCAAGATCCTGCAGATTGGCACTGGGTCGGAGTTGACATCTGAGCTGATCACACACATGCTCAATTGGGGGACCTGACTGGCCACGGGAGGACTTCAACACAATGTAGGCAGCCCATAGACAAAGACCCAGTCCATGGACGAGTATTGTCTTGTTGAAAGATTGTACCTGGGTTTGAACAGCTGACTTAACGGTTATCCAAAAAACCATTCATACACACCAGCCCTTTGTGGATAAGATTGGCCACCCCTCTCTCATGCAATCCCTGTTACTCCTACAGAATTTGCTAATGCAATGGATACAGGGTGTAATTACTGTATGTTGTTTAAAGCCAAATTTAATTTCCTTTTGGTGATGGTTTGCTCCAAATATTGAGGAAAAAACGTTTTGTCTGTCATCAAAATATGTAATTTCTAATAAAAAGATGTTTGTTATTGCTACACAACTGTTACCCAGAAGAGCCGTTTTCAGCAGTCGAAGAAAGACAGTCACGGTCGCAGATCACAAAAGCAGAAACGGGGAGACGAGGGATCAGAATCGAAGGGTTTATTTGGAATCAAACCAAATGCAGGACACAGGAACATGCAACGTTAATGACACGACTGGG